ACAGATTTTTAACAAATCTATTAATAGAAAGTCAAAAAGTCAACACATATATTTAAGGTTACTATTTCTGATTTTTCCATCAACCCTTTTTTATATATATAGATATAGATTAATTTTCAAATGAAAAAAGAAAAACAGAAAAAAAATAAAATAAAATAAAATGAAAATATTAGTGTAGTGTAGTTTCCGATTTTTTTTTGTATGTTGATTTATTACCCGTAACGTAATTATAGTGCAATATCTAATATATATGTTGATGTCAAAATGAAAATATTTATAATTATTAAATTAAATCATTTAAAATGTCCAACTTTGAAAAAAAGATTAAACATTACAGATAAAATTGAAAAACTCCACCACATTTAATTGAAAAAAAAAAAAGCAAGACGCTGAACAAATTAAAAAGAATTACAACAAATTACCAAATTTAGTAATATGATGTGATTTAAAAAAAAAAAAGAATTATAAAATGTTAATACATCAAAGTACCATTTTTAACAAAGTTCACAAATGGGGAACAAAAATCATCTAAAATTAAAATTTGTATACAAATCTTCAATACTTGATGACGTAGGAACCCAAAGATCAGGTCGTGTAGGAGAGAACATTTCATTTCCAGACCCGATTGTCTTTGACATGTATATCAGCTTACAAAAGGAGATAAAACTTAAAAACAAGTCATAATATAAGCATCATGACTACAATTGATGCAAAAATATATAAGCATTTGCAGTAAGGTCCTACTTCCTAGACTCGGGACTATTACCATAAATCCTAGTGTTTTCTGCCTTCTGAGCAAAAAAACCGACAATTAATACGAAAACTATATGTATATATGTAAGGACTACTTCTCATGAACTGATATAAGCCACAGCCGTAACTTTTAGCAGGCTCTCCCAGCATTAATCTTCTCGTTGATCGCCTTGTAGCACACGAGACTGCAAAGAGGAAGCTTTAACTTGGAATCACGGTACTTATAATCATTGGTACAGAAGGGCCCCGCGCATTTCTCACGTGGAGGAGGATAACTGAAATTTCGGGATGAATCGGTATATTAGGGTCTTTTACACAATAAAGATTTTATAAAAACTATAGCATGAGCTTTAACTTAATTATTAATACTCCTCTGAGATAATGCAAATTGTCTCCGAGGTTTATTTTTTACTTTCCTGTAGTTACCCTGCAAAATTACTCAATAAGGAGAGAATAATAAAACAATGCTACCTGCACGGTTTGGAGTCGAAAATTTCAGGCAAACCCATCTCTTGTGGAAATGTGACAGTAGTCCCAGTAGGTCCCATGACTGTTCTAATGGTGTTCGATGCAAGCATTAGTGCATGAGCCGCCTTTTCCTGTTTCACAATTATTAATTTTTCATGAACAAAATAGCAGTGACAAAAAAAAAAGGAAAAAAAAACGAAGAACCTCCAAAAGATTTCATCCTAGAAGCACATAGTACTAACCTGTGCCAACTCTTCCTGGCGTTTCTTTATCTTCTCTTCTCTCTTCTTCCTACTCGAATCTTGCCCAAGTATCTTTCTAATAGCCTCTGCCTGTACAATTTCAAATTAACCGGAATGTTATTCCACATTTTCATATGGATATATCTTTTAAGGAAAAAAAAAAAAAAAACATTTGAGAACCTCTGATTCACGGGCTGCTTTCTCATTCTGCAATCTCCGCCTCTGAGCAGCCTCGGCTTTCTTCAGCTGTTGCTCCATTTCTGACAATTTCTCCTTTTGCTCTGTCTCATACAAATTATTATAAGTATAAGTTAGAACAGATTAACTCGAAGGAGAGAGATCCAAAATTTTAAATAAAAAATAAAAATAATCATAATAATACTAACTTCGAGGTGGGGCTGGTGGTAACCCATTCGGAAACTCGATTTGACTAGCTCCACCAGATACAGATGCATCTTTGGTTAGAAGGGCTCTTTGACGAGACGTAAGAGCCATTTCTCTCTTGTTTTCCGAGACCAACTCCGAAAGATCCTTTTTCAGTTTTTTCTTCTTCCCTTCTGTATCACCATCGGAGTATGGTTCTTCTTCCTCTTCTTCCAAATTGTCGTATTTACTTTCCTTTTGCAGCTTTCTGCTTGATAGCTTTGAGGACTTGAGTTTCTCCAAATACCGGATCTCATCATCTTCATCATCATCGTCAAAATCAGAATCAAGAACTCGTTTTTTCGGAACCCTTTTGCTCTTACGAACTGAATCCGACTTATCTCCTTGTTTCTCAACGGCATTCTTTCCGGATGTTTTCCCCATATCTTCCTTCTCAATACTGAAATTACCTTTTGAGAAATCCTTCCACGGGATCCCTTGCAGACCTCTTTTATTATCAGAAGTTGGAGATTGATGATCATCGGGGCTTTCCTGGTATAAAGACACAGTCAGCAAGACAAGGTTAACTCAATTCTATCACAATTATTAGATTTTGAATGCGAATAAGTTTTTGCCGAATATATAGTAAGTGTTCCTTAATGAATGAATGAGTCTCATATATCAGCACAAAATAGCTAACATATTACCATAATATCGAATAACGCGCATAGTCATCATCAAATATACCTGAATTCTTAAGATAACGCTTAGTTTTGGAAGAAATACACTTAGTTTTCTGAGCGAGTCCATAAAATTAAAAGAACCATAACTCAATTTTAACTATTTTGCATAAATAAAGACCCAAGAAAAAGGCGAAATCAAATCCAGACCAACTTGAATCAGCACAAAAAAAAAAAAAAAAAATGTGCAAAATGATTTTTGTGAACAATAAGCACAGAAGCAACAACCTGCCCAATCGATCTCTGTCGTGGACGAGAATGATCAGAAGATTCGCCATTAGCACTGGATTTGGCTTGAATTGTGCGGGTCACACCACCAACCTTCAATTTAACTTTTTTAAGTTTACTCTGACTTCCTGACTCGTCAAACATACCATTACCACGAAGAACATTCGATCCGCTCACTTTGTCAGGCTCGCTTGCAGGCAAAGACCTCGATACACACTGATTCAGATTTAACATTTTGCCACCCGAGTTACAATCACCATTGTTCTCGTCACTTGAGGCCTTACTCAGGTCATCCGAAACTGGAGTTGATGGAACAGGAGATTGCTCGGGGTCAGGGTGTGGCTGAGCCTCAGGTCTAGGCCGGCGTGATGTTTGACTTCTCTTTCTTTTAATAGAGTTTGCAACACTCTCCAATTGAGAAACTCCATGCTGGTCCATTTTCAACAAAGATCTTCAAGAGCTGCAGAAGTATAGATCAAATGTTAGGGCTGACTAAAGGATACAAGTCATGTCTTGAGCCAATGTGTCAGCAAAAGAAGTTCAGAAAATCAACCATCACACAAAGAGGAGACATGATAGTTGTTAATTTATCAAATAAATCTGGCAACCATAACCAACTGAGAGAGACTCGAGTTTGAGAACACGACTCTGAGTCCATAAATCAGTCAAGAGGCCACAGTCATTGATGACAATACTGTCAGATTCAGCAGGGATAACTCAAAGACATAAAATACCAACGAAAAACGGCAGAGACAGGGCAGTCCTTGCAAGACACCTTATCAACAAGAAAACAACTTAATCACCTAATAAAAGAAAAGAAATAAGACATTGAAGATAAATTCACTTCAATGCCTTCACCACCTGATAAAGCACAAAAAAAAGTTCAAGCTGATCCAACTGCGTGAACACGCACAGATTTAACTAACTCGAGAAATTTCAAATCCTATGAATCAGTTAGGAAAAACAAATTACGAAAACCAACAACCTCAATTGAACACATTAACAGCTTCACACGATGCCCCCACATCCCAAGGAAAAATAAGAGAACCAAATCAAACACGTTCCTCTCATAAAAGAGGACAACAAAACAAGAAAACCCCTCACATTGGGCGATCACCACAACCCTAGATGACACTAAACCCATCTCCGATCAGCAACCCCACAATAATCCCACAAATCAAAACAAAAGCCCACCAAAATACCTGTAATGCTGAGGAAAAACACGAACAAATCAGACAAAAAAGAATCGCCTTTTGATTGGACGGATGGAGAACAGACAGCGGCGAGGCGGAAAGAGAAAACAGAAGCTACACCAGAGGGCACGCGATAATGGTTTTCCGAATATAAAGATACACGCAGACCTGTATGTATTCTAGAGCAAGAAGGGAGAAAACAATCCGCGTTGTTTTGAGATTTGGGCGTTTTGGTTAGGGTTTGAGGAGATAGAGAGAGGATAGCGGTGTTGATATGGGTAAGTGTAGTAGTAGTAGTAAAGGAGACTCCCAATATCTTCCCCATTTTTTTCACGCCTGTGTGTGTGAATTTTTGGTGTGAGTTTGTTTCTGAGTGGCGGATATTTGGACCCGGCGAGTTGACTCAGCTCCTTCAAAGCCTTCCCCGTATTTATTTTCCCTCCTCTGCTGCAACACAGCCCACAGGGTAGAATTCCTGCGCAAAGGGCTTATTTTAGCGGGACTTCGTAGCCTGCACGCGAGTTTTGATTTCCATTTTTTTTTCCTTCAAAATATATTTTTTTTTCATATTAATTAGCATCAGCAATGCTTTGAGTCTAACTAGTGCGTAACCGTGCGATGCACAAACAGTATCTATATATATATAAGAAGGTTTGATTATTAAGATCTATTTACTATTTTGTGAAATTAATTTAACAATTTCTGGTATATTTCAAATAATTACTTATGTAAATTGCAGCTCATTATTTAAGGAATAGTTAAGCCATATAAATATTCATTTTAAGATACCTTAATTACTCAAATTAATTAATACTTTATGATATATTCCAAGTAATAATTTATAGTAAATTCATTTTTAAGATATCTTAATTACTCAAATCATGTGAATTGGTTGATTCACCCAAATATAGGAATTTCGGCTGCAATATCAATTATATGTCTTGGTAAAAAAATTCCAACTAAATTGTATAATTTATTGTTTAATGAGTATTTTTACATTTTTCGTCTAATTCTTTTGTGAAATACATTTTTCATATACATTAATTACAGAAATTGTGTAAATCTGACTGATATATTCAATCTGTAAATAATTAATACAATTATGAAATATCGACAACAGTAATTGATTATGCAGTTTACAAAAACTGTTATAAAAAAATTGTGTTAATGATAATTTTATTTATATATTTTTCAATTAATGTTATTCGTTTTTTTTTTTTTGTATTTAATTGCTCAAATCGTGGATAATTAAAGAAATAATTAGACAATAAAAATTTATATTTTAATGTATCCTAATTATGCAGATCGTGTAAGTTAGGTTGATTTACAATTTCTTATAAATTCTAGAATAATTGTGTTAATGGCAGTTTCTATTTACTTATTTTTAATAACTATTTTTGGGTCTTTTTATTTTTATCTATAATAAACGTGAGTCTTGATTTTGTTTTGTACGCTGAGCAATTAATTTTGTGGTTAAACTGAATATCATTTTTTGTATTTTATCGATAATGTATGAAATTGAATTATTTGATATACTATATATTGATCCAATATACCCACTTATGGTAATAAATGGTATCTCATTTTTTTTTTTTTTTTGTTTCATATTGCTTAATGAAAGAAAAATATGGATAATACTATGGTCGCTTTTTCTTTGAAAATGTGTGTGAAATATATCAAATTATTTGGTATGTATGTGTATGTGTGTGTGTGTGTGTATAGAAAAGTTTGTTTTACTTAAATCACATTATAGTAAAATCAAATTTATGAATAAAAAATTGAAAATGACATCTATTTTTGAAATGAATATTATGTATTTTTTTATCAGTTACTTGCCCTGTACGGGTCATGTACTAATTTTAAATAGACATGTTTTATGTAATTTTGCATAATTTAAATTTCATATAACATTTTCAACACATTAATATAGGTAAAGTGTATTACATATTGATTCCCTATTTCTAAATTATAAATATTATTTAATGAGCATTTGCAATTTATAAATATTAATGAATATTTCTTACACGTGCATCACACGTGATTTGTACTAGTTTATTTTAGAGAATATTATAAAAGAATTATCATATTAGATAATTTGTCAAATCATAAAATATTCGTAATAAAAAATTTAAATATTATTAAAATTTTCTTGAATACTTTATTAGATAATACATTATTAGTTTGATACTTGACAACTCGTCTTCCCCACAAATTAATATTTTCGTCCAGTTTCTAGTACTTACACGCAAGACAACAACATATAATTGGTCGTGACTAAAAATCGATTTCTTTATGATAAGGTCAACGTGCGATAAAGGCAGTCTCTAACTCTTGTTTATGGTCTTAGGATACGAAACCATAAGTTGGAACTGCTGCCGCTGAAACTTAAATGGAACTCTAAGATCAGAATGATTTACTTATGTTTGATAGTTTACTTGACGGTTCGACAAATGAGTCGTTAGTTTGTCATTTTAATATCGATTATACTTGATTAATGAAATTAATAATTACTAATACTTTTATTTTTTTTATCACTAAATTCTTAAATACATAAAGGATAATTACTTATTAATACATTTTATTATATATACATTTATATTTTATTGTTTGAATAACTTGAGACTAATTCTTATTTTAAATAATTGTGAAATAGTATATTTTACTTAATTCTATATGCGCAATTAAATAAAAAACTTAATAATACTTTCAAAAAATATATATTTTTATTTATGCATACAATATGAGTGTCGAGTCAAAATTTGTAAAATAAAGATTAATTTAATATTATAAATACAAAATGAATAATATACAAAAAGATTTTCATGCTTTTTAATAAAGTGGTGAAATTGATACTTAATACGGAAAAAATCAAGGATATGAAAGCTAAAAAAGAAATAAATCAAAGTTCGAAATTTTTTTAATTTAGATGTTTTAGGAAATATTTAAATTTCACACACATATATATACTAGTACAACACTCGTGTATTACACGGGTGCTTGTTAAAAAATTATTCTTAAATTTTAAAACTAATGAAAAAACTATATTAAATTTAGTTTACTTTTTTACAAAAAAAAAAATATATTACTATATATTTTAGAATGATATGTGTTACTTATGACTTACATGTGTTATATTATATTAGTTTTTATAACTTATATCATATAACTACTTGAAATATAAATATATTAGTTGATAAATAATTTTATTTTTCTAATTAATATTAAAAATAATTTTATTATTGTTATAAAGATAAATATATATTATTTTCTTTATACATACAATATGGATGTTAAATCGAAGCTCATCAAAAAAAGATTAATTTTATATATTACATATGTAAAACTGATACAAAAGTTATTAACTTTTAAAATATATATACAATTCAATAGTTATAATAAGGAATGATATTAAAATGCAATTAATACATGTAACATGACCATAAATAATCAAAACATTTATGGTAATTCGAACCTAATTATTTTTGGTTTGGAATTAAATTAATATTTACCCAAGCCTAATAACGAAGCATATAATTTTGCCACATAGAATTCCGAAGCACCAGAAGCAGCCACGTAGGCTCAACGCGTTCTGAATTAATATATAGGGGGGATATATATATATATATGTATATATATATATTTATATGTGAGAATGGTGCTCAGTGAAAGAAATAAGAATACATCATAGCCATTAGATCATTCGATCTAATGGCTAAAATGAATGTCAAAATTATACCTTCATTAAGGGTATTATAGTAATTTTTGACACAACACACAAACAAGTGGACCCCACACCATAACACACCTGCAAATGTGTCAACTGCAACCATATACGGTCATCCCCCCATCCCACATTATCTCTCTCTCTCTCTCACACACACACACACACACACAACACACACAACTCACCTTTTTTCCTGTTCTTTTACTGCGGAGGAACTAGGAAAAAAGGGATCTGAAAACGACATGCGGTCTGACATTAATAAATAAAAGAAAAAAATTCCCTTTCATAATAAAATGAAAATCAAATGATAAATGAGTTCTTTCTATTGTCACGGGCATCCTATTGCCTTCACTTTGCACGCAAGCCGCCGAAGCCCTCCTATTTCTTTTCTCTACCAGCATTCTTCGTAGAATGAACGACTTAATCCAAGCCCCATCAGAGACCTTGAACTCGTCACCTCGTCGAAATCATAAGCTCGTCACACTGCAGAGACCTTGAGCTCGTCACCTTGTCGGAATCAT